ACGCACTCCATCTTCATAGCTCCCGTTCTTAATCCGGTACGCACTCCATCCTCATAGCTCCCGTTCTTAATCCGGTACGCACTCCATCCTCATAGCCCCCGTCCTTAATCCGGTACGCACTCCATCCTCATAGCCCCCGTTCTTAATCCGGTACGTTGGTTATGTGTGACGTAGCCGCTTCCCGCGTGCTGTCACGTCACGTGATGTAGGGAGCATGGGTTAGGTCACGTGATATAGGGAGCATGGGTTAGGTCACGTGATATAGGGAGCATGGGTTAGGTCACGTGATATAGGGAGCATGGGTTAGGTCACGTGATATAGGGAGCATGGGTTAGGTCACGTGATATAGAGAGCGTCTTAAAATGAGCATATTAGCATCTTAAAAGCAGTTAGTTATCGACCGTATTGATCAGTTGTTATATACAGGGAACTAATAGAAGAACAAGAAAATAACACCATAATATATGAATAATTCATAATATGTTACAATATATAATATATATATATATATATATAGATATATATATATATATATATATCATATTCGAATGGTATCAGAATGCTATAGTTGAATATGGTGGGAGTAAGGATAAAGGATTGTAGGATTTAACTGATGTTTTTTCTTCGGCATGCTGCAGGATGAGACGAGTAAGTCCATCTACTTCCCAGAGGGACAGTGGTACGAGTATATGTCTGTAAGTATATTATACAGGCAGTGGTATGAGTATATGTCTGTAAGTATATTATACAGGCAGTGGTATGAGTATATGTCTGTAAGTATATTATACAGGCAGTGGCTGGTGGCAGACGCCCAGCCTCACCGCTTATTCGCCACACTAACTTATATATTATATATTATATATTATATATTATATGTTATATATTATATTGAATCGGTATAGTATTATAAGAAAATCTTATTTCTCGATCGGTTTGTTCATATCTGGTTACATGCTTAGTTGTGCTGAGCTTAGCTTAGTTATGAGTAGCTATAACTTGATGTTGTTGGTTATAGGGTTTAGTTATGTT